GCCTGTAGTCCCAGCTACTTGGGAGGCTGTGGCAAGAAGATCACTTGAGCCCAAGAGTTTAAGATTGCTGTAAGCTATGATGCCAAGGCACAAAAAAAAAAAAAAATTCACTAAAGAGGACTTACCTATGGCACATAAAAATATGTAAAGATGTCATATCATTAGTCTTTAACGAATCTCAAAACCACAATGAAGTACACTACTGATAAATTAGCAGGAGATTTTAACCCAGAAGTCTGCAGCAGGACCGGTCTACCAACCCCCAACACACACTACCCCAGGCCCCGTTTTAGCCAATGTAGAATGGCTAAAATGAAAAAGTCTGACTGTACCAAGTCAGTGTTGGTGAGGATGCGGAATCAGAACCTCCATACCCTACTGGGAACATAAAATGATACGACCACATTGGAAAACAATGGGGCAGTTTCCCAATCAGTTATTATAAACTTAGGCCAGTCACATGACTCAGACATTCCATTCCTAGGTACTTTAACTAAAGAAAAGTGAACGCTATGTCCATAAAAAGATTTGCACAGGAATATTCAGAACAGCTTTATTTGTAATAGCCCAAACTAGAAACTATCCAAATGTCTGTCAACAATAAATTGCTAAACAAATCGTGCTATACTGGTACAATAGAACACTATAAAATAAATAATTTTTACTCTGCCACGAAAAGAAACTATTACAACAACATGGATGACCCTCAAACTAATTATGCTGAGTATATACTGTATGGTTCATTTACCTAAAATTCTAGAAAATCCAAACCAATCTACAGTGGCCAAAGGCATATCATCATGGTTGCCTAGGGAGGAGGACTCAGGGAGGAAAGGGTTAGCAAAGGGCATGAGGAAACTCTTAGCAGTGATGGGTATGTTCATAATCTTGATCGTGGTGATGGTTTCAGGAGGGAAACATGTCAAAACTTATCAAATTGTACACTTTAAATATGTGCAATTTGTTGTATGTCAATTATACCTGAATAAAAGTTTCCTTCCTTCCTCCCTCCTCTCCTTCCTTTCGAGATAGTGTTCCACAGCGTCTCTGCTGCCCAGGATGGGTACAGTAGTGTGATCATAGCGCACAGCAGCCTCAAATTCCTGAGTTCAAGGGATCCTCCTGCCTCTGGAAGAGCTGGGGCGACGAGTGCGCGCCATCATGCCCGACTAATTTTTTCATTTTTGGTAGAGACGCGCGTCCTTTTGCTGAGGTTGGTCTCGAACTCGAGCTCAATGGATCCTCCCACCTCGGCCTCCTAGGGTGCTAGGATTACACGTGTGCGCCACCGTGCCCCGCAAAAACACCTTGTTTAAAAAGGAAAAGGGTCATCTCGTTCCCAGGATCACCCAGTGATTTAAATCCAGAGGTCAGCAGCAGGACCTCCGTGTACCACCATCCCCCACCCCTCGACACACACAGACCCAGGCCCCTGTGTGGCACCGAGCGGCGGGGAACGTGCTGGAAGCCAGCAGAGCGCGCCCGCCGGCCGGCCCGGACGTAAATCATTAGCCCGTGGGCGGCCCGAGCGCGGCCCCGCCCCGGGGAGGCAACCGGGGCCCAGCCTGGAAGCTCGCCCTATCGGCCACCTGCTGCCTGCCCGCCTGCGCCGCGACATGGTGAGCGGGGGAGATCGGGCGCCGCGCAGGGTGGGGAGCCGGAGCGGGAGCCGGTGAAGGAGGGTCCTCCGGACCCTTTGCGAAGCCGCCGCGTCCCGGCTGTGGAGTCGGGGTCTCCGCCCCACTCCCCGTTGCCTACGGTGCCGGGCGGGATCCAGGAGAGACGTGGTGGCAGGTCGGGCCCCAGCTAGGCGGCAGGCCAGACCTGCCCTTGACTCCCAGGCCAGTGCTCGCTCCCGACCCGTGCTTGGCGCGGAGGAACATCATAGGGAGCCCGCCGTTGTCCCTCTCAGGGGCCACGGTTTTGTTGTGTATTTGGGGGCGCAGGTGAGTGCGAGGGAGAGAGTAAGTTTGTGGGTTCCTGTGCGTTCTTGGTCCCTGCTCGCTCCACTTCTGGGTACAGGGTCTGGCAGGGACTAAGCCTCATCTGAGGCCTGTGCTCTGCCGTGGGGACGTAGTGGAGGCTCAAGCTCATCCCTCCACAAGGCTGAGCCACCCCACAGCTTTGCGCTCCCCCATAGAGGGGAGACATCTCGGGGCCTTTGCTCTGGTGTGCTAGGAGGCCCAGGAAGCTACACCACACACACCATTCCTGGCCCAGAGGCCTTAGGAGCAGTCAAGACTGGGTGTTTTGACCAACTGTGACTTAGGGACAGAGGTTGAGTGGGAATGGTCCTGAGGGGCACCAGGCCCCAAGGATGCAGGCTTGGTAATCGGTAACCCCACTGCACACTCCCCAGAGGAGGCTGGGCCTGACTGGCCATTTACTAAGCAAACACAGTCCCTTCCCCCTCTGTCCCCAGAGCTCAGGTTTGTCACTTCAGGCCCAGGCTGTGTGACTTGGGGGATTCCAGAAGACTCTGCCAAGAAAGGGGAGTCTCCCAGAAGTTCACCTTTACCCACCCACCGACCCACCCCTTTCAGAGCCAAGGAAGTAAACAGTGAATTCTGGTGGCTGGGCAGACTTCTGGTTGCCTGGATACACGGACCAGAATCGCCAGCCACTAGAAAAGGGCTCTCTCCTCTGGAGCAGAGGCCTGCTGGGCAGATGATGCCAATCACTGCCGCCATCTCTGTAGCTATCCAGAGCAAAGGGGAGGAGAGGGCCGAGCCAGATCAGTCCAGAGAGAGCACTTTTTTTAGGAGAGGGAGGAAAAAGTGGACTTTAAGAGTACTTTGATGCTACCCTAAAGCCTATCACAAGCCTACTTGTCCCAGGAGGGGGGTTTTAAATGGAGATGATTTTTGCTTATAACAATGCAGTTTCCTACAGTGTCCCTTTGATGAAATGATCTGTGAGCTGGAGGTTCTGCCAAGAAAGCTACAGCCACCTGGCTGGGGTGTCCAGTCAGCGGGCTGCCTTATAAAAGCTGAACTAACCTCCCTCATGTGTCTCCCCAGACCTCATTTTCAGTTCAGCACACTGTTTCTGTCCTGGGGTGTGCTGTTTTAGAAAGCTAGGCTTTTACACTAGACCTGGATCCTCCCAGAACAGAACCCTCCTTGCTTCCCTGGATCCTGTGACATTCCACTGTGGCCTGGATTATGCACATTTGAGCTGCCTGGAGGGCACTTTGTACAATAGGTAAAGAGGACAGGGGCACTGGATTTGCCAGTTGTTGCTCTTAGCCAAGTTACTTCTGCTTATGGGTCTGAGCTCTAGCCAGAAGAGGACAGAAGATGGAGAACTTGGGATCCCTGGGCCTGGTGGCTCAGGGACCAGAGGCTGTATGGGAGTGTGGTTGAGTACTTACCAGTGGTGGTGCCAGTGGTTGTCACCTGCCATGTGGCTAAGAATGGTCTGGATGCTTGTTTTATTTATTATTTATTTATTCTGGGACAGAGTCTCACTCTCTGCCCTGGATAGAGTGCCACAGCATCATCATAGCTCACAGCAACCTCAAACTCCTGGGTACAAGCAATCGTCCTACTTTAGCCTCCTGAGTAGCTTGGACTACAGGCACCCACCACAATACCCAGCTAGCTTTTTTTTCTATTTTTAGTAGAAACAGCGTCTGACTCTTGCCCAGGCTGGTCTCAAATTCCTGAGCTCAAGCAATCTACCTTTCTCAGCCTCCCAGAGTGCTAGGACTACAGGTGTGAGCCACCACACCTGGCCTGGATGCCTGTTTTAAAACACCAGTTCCTTTGCCCAGCCCCAGGGATGTTGACTTGTAGTCCACACTTTGAAGATGCTGCCTGTGCTGCCACCGACTAAGGGGTGGGGATGGGAGAACAGTGGAGTCTTTTCCCCCTTCTTGGCCAGTGTCCTCTTCAGTATACACAACCTTTAAGGTGAGGCACATAGGCCCTGGGGGCAGGGTGGGGAGGAGTATTCCTCAGTGCCAGTCACATGCATGACACTTCCCTTGGGATTTTCCTTCTCTGAATGGATTATAAAACCCAAGGCCTGAGAACCTATCTGTGAACAATCCTGGACCCCTCCTCCTGGGCAGGGCCCCAGCCTCAGACCTCCCAGGCTATTGCTTAAAAACCTACTGCCCTTTGGTCACCCATGTCCAAAGCTGCCAGTAGCAGCTGGCTGATTTCCCCCAAAGGTCTGAGGCCTTCTTTTTGACCTGTAGAGAAAAATGCCCTTGGGCCTCTGTTTTTTTCCCTCATCTAGGCTGGCAAAGCACACAGGCTAAGTGCTGAGGAGAGGGACCAGCTGTTGCCAAACCTAAGAGCTGTTGGGTGGAACGAGCTGGAAGGCCGTGATGCTATCTTCAAGCAGTTCCATTTCAAAGACTTCAATAGGGTATGGCACTGGGGTGGGACAGTTTCTAAGATTGGAGCTGATGGTGTCACACTCTAGAACTTGTTCTCTCCCTTCTGTTATCCAAAACTCTCAGACACTACACTACGAGTTACTTGGGTACTGTGCCAGTGGGGACATTAATTTTCCTGCATAACTTAGAAAGAATTATCCTTGGGGATTGCAGAGTAGGAAGATGGGTCTTGGGCTGTCTCTACGTAAAACTTTTAGGAACAATTCTCAGAGGAGATAGTTCACGTAGGAAATAGGCGTACATCTCTAAGGCATTTTATTGCCAAAAGACTGGCCAAACAAAAAGCCTGTTGTGGTGTCCCCACTTTGTGATCCCAATAGCAGGACTTTCTTCCTAATACACGGACAACCTCTAACTCAACCCTGAGAGCCGGTCACAAGATGTCAAGGGGGGAAATGATTAAAACAAGAGTGGTGTCCCTGTATGAAACTAGCCCAACCCCTTGCATCTAGGCCATTAAAAGGCATCCCAGAGTCTTTTTTCTCAGAACACTAACCTGGTCTCATTTCACTTGAATAGGCTTTTGGGTTCATGACAAGAGTGGCCCTGCAGGCTGAGAAATTGGACCACCATCCAGAATGGTTTAACGTGTACAACAAGGTGAGCGATGCCCTGCCCCTCTGTTGTGCCCTGCCCCTGTCCAAATCTTGAAAACCCCACTCACTCTGAAGGTCCCTTCGCTGTACTTCACTGTGGGCCCTCCTCACAGGTTGACCCACAGGCCCACCCACTGAATCCGTCCATTCATCTTATTCCTGATCTCATTAAGATTGCATATGCCTAGAATCAACATAACACCACTGGAAAATAATGTCTCACGACAATCAGAAGAAATGCAAATTAAAACAGTGAGATGCCTGTGGTTGAAATAGACATTAAGAAGGCAAAACCCGGGGTGGGGGGGAGTGTGCTCCCACTTGATGGGCACAATGTTAGGGTGTATGGCACACCTCTTGGGGGAGGGACACAATTATAAGACTCTATCTAACAATGGAAACAATGTAACCCAATTCTTTGTACCCTCAAATTAACGTGAAACAATAATAACAATTACACACACACACACATATATATATAAATAACCTGAAAAAAAAAAAGAAGACAAAACTTAAGAAAGGAAAAGCTGTGGGACTCAGACATACTTGCTAATAGCTCTAAGTGGCTTTAATCCTTCTGGAGGTATGGAAGAATGAAAAAATACCCATGCAGAGCCAACCTATCAGATTGCTTAACGAATGGAAATAATCATTAGATGCCTAGCATCTGCCAAGAGCTCTGCTGGACTATGTATAAAAACCTTAAGGGTAGAAATTATGCTAATGGATAGTGTTTTAAGAGTTGGTATTGGTTTTTAGTTTTGTCTTTACCATTAGGACGTTAAATTTTTACCCTATAGCTGAGATCACCATTAGTTTTGAAAGACATGAGAGAGACATATAAGACAGTCAGTCTCCCCTGTCGTTACAGACATGTCAGCAAGGGTCCCCAGGACAGACTATACTGAGTGGTTACTACTGAGCTCCCAGTAGGGCTGGGCCCAACAGCTGGTGACTTCTGCTCCTAAGTGCAATCAGTGGAGTCAGATGGCCCTGCATTTCTGGTTTTGTTTCAGGTCCACATCACCCTGAGCACCCATGAGTGTGCAGGCCTTTCAGAACGGGACATAAACCTGGCCAGCTTCATCGAACAAGTAGCAACATCCATGTCATAGATCCTGTCCTTCCTCTTTGAATCACTCAGGGCAAAGGGGTGATTGAATTGGGGAATCCAGGGAGGGAGCTGAGAGCCCTTGGCCCCAAGACCCTGCTGCCTCTGTTGAGGGGTGAGTCCTTGTTGTGGGGAGAAGATCCTAGCATCCCTGCCAACACCAAGAATTTAGACCTCTTCCCTGTGCTGCTCTCTGTCCTTGGGGCTCTATTATGTTACACTAATTTGAATAAGCTCCTTTCTTTGCACCTTTTCAGCAACAGTAATGTTTTCTTGCTCACTTTATAATTCATTTCCCAAGAAGCTGTGATACAGGGTAAAATAAAATCTTATCTTAGAAACCAGGTAAACCCCTTCCTATGTGATGGAAACATGTTATGTTTGTATCTATCAAGTAAAACTATTGTCACTTGGTCTCAAGCTGTAGAACCATCTTTCCCAAGGGTCGATCCAAATAAGTAGGCCCTAAAAGCACTTAGTGCGAGGCACAGTTCAAGGTACTGGGGGAAAGAGAGGAACCAGACCACTTGGACTTCAGGTTCATTATCATCTAGGGGAACCAGACAGGAAAACAATTAACTATTACCAGACAGGACAAATTAAGTTAATGCTGGATGGTGGGGTAAGATTGAGCTAAGGAGAATACAAATGATTAATGGTGACAAAGGCAAACCTGGAAGCTTTCATTGGAGTTATGCTTCGGAGACCTGAGTGGAATCATTAAGGGGCAGAAATGGCTGAAGGAACATCATGAACACAGATACTTACTGAATAATGTGATGCAAAGGAAATGCTCGTGGAACATTATGGATTTCAGGTTTTGGATTAGGGATACTCAACCTAAGTATAATGCAAATATTCCCAAATCCAAAATCCAAAACTTCTTGTCCCAAGCCTTTCAGATCAGGGATACTCAACTTGTACCTTCTGCCTGGCTCATTTTATGTGTCAACTTGATTGGGCCACGGGGAGCCCAGATGCTTGGTCAAACATTACTGACAGTCTTTCTGAATGAGATTAACATTTGAACTGGTAGACTGGAGTAAAGCAGATTGCCTGCCCTGATGCGGGTGGGCCTCACCCAAATTAGCTGAAAGCTATGTAGACTAAAAGGGCTGACCCTCCCCCACATAAGAGGGAATTCCTGACTGCCTTGGACTGGAACAAGTCTTTTCTTGCTTTTGGACTCAAAACTACAATATCCACTCTTCTTGGGTCCCAAACCTGTGGGCTGAGTGGAACTATACTATCATAGGCGCTCCTGGATCTTCAGCTTGCCAACTCCAGATCATAGGATTGGTCAATCTCCATTATCATATAAGCCAATTCCTTACAATAAATCTTTATATGTATATTGATTCTGTTTCTCTGGAGAACCCTGACTGGCCTATTAACATCAGATGGGGAGATTTCTAATCGTGGTGGTCTCTGCAGTTTCTCAGAGATCTAGCCTAGCAAAGGCCTCCAGGCTTGCCTGCTTTGACCCTATAAAAGAGAAGACACAAGGCACAGCTTAGGAGCTATATATCTTTGGAGCAATTATGGAGCAGTTTTTCGCCAGGACTGGGAGGAGGATGCTGAGAGTCTTGTCCCTAGCCCTGTATGCAATGCCACACAAATACCACATCACGTATGGCACGAGGCAGAGACTCCTACCCTGAAGCACTCCCTGAGAACTAAGCTAATTTGCAAATGCCAGGGTCACTTGGAGCAGGCATCTAGCAATGTCACAACCCTATCAACCTGGATGAGTCAGTACCCCAACAAGGGTCAGAAAAGAGGCAAAGGTTGGTGGTTGAAATAAGCATATTGTTGATAAGAGGGCTTGGTGGGACCCCCTTCTTATCCTATGTGCTAGTAAAACATTATCAGCTTATGTTGATAGCAGTTTAACATCAAGACTGTAAGATCCAAACAATGGCCTCTCATCTACTCCACTTCTCACTTACATTTTTCTAAGTGTACTTTGATCTGACGGCTGAGAATTAGGACACAGAAGACACTAGACATAAGGGTATGGATTGCCTTATGTTCCTGCCTCTGCTTGTTATCATGGATAAAGGGTTGAAAAATGCTACCACAGGTGGCACTAGTTATATGAAGTGTTTTTATGTGGGACAAAGACACAGGCAACACTTTTTAGAAATAGATTTATTTTAAAATTAATCCAAATAATTAAAACTATAGAGAGGACATAAAGATACAAGAGATTATGGTTAAAAGGAAAGCACAAAGCAATTAAATCTCCTAAGCAAGAAAAGACTCTCAAAAACTTGATTGGGTAGCTGTCAAACTAGGCCCCAGTCATTACTTCTGTCACTACCCAGTCTAGCTGAAAGCTGCTCATTGCCACCAAGATCCCACAGAGAAGGCAAACAGCCAGATTGCTGTTCTGCTGAAGAGGGCAAAGCTTCTTAGACAGACCAGGCCTCATTCTCCAAGAATGTCTTGCTCCTCTCTCCCCAGCAAGGGTGGAGGACATATGGCCCCCAACCAAATGCAGACTTCACAGAAGAAATGCCTTTATAAAAGGATTTGTTCTATAAAAACTGGATTCAATCAATAGGCTGTACTCAAGGATCCAGAAGGCCACATGGTCCTGAGGCTGCAGCTTCCCTGCCCCTGTGCCAGATGCTCCAGGGAAGGAGGCCATTTGGCAAAAAAACTATAGCAAAGGGAGTATTCCTTGGCTTGGTTCTGGCCAAGTCTGAATGGGCCAAAATGAAAAGCTGGGTTCCCCGAATGACAGCTTTCAGATCCTAAGTCTTTGGATTTTTTATTCATGGAACAAGATGCCCTGCAGTTTTAATGTGTGAAGATCATCTGAAGAACTCTATCAGACCCTAAACCAAATGCAGGGCTTTAAGCCAGAGCTACGCTGCCCAGGTGGCTGGAGTCCACTGAGATGGACTCAATCTAGCATGCAGGTGTAAGCAGAGCACATGATGAAGATGGCAGAAAATATGACAGGGCCCTGGCCCTAGGAAACTAAGGACCTGAATTCCAAACCTCCCCGAAACAGAAATGACCACCATTCCTGGTGTGGAGACCACTCAGCTACCTATGAAAATGCCTGCAAGTGAGCCAGATTCTGTTCTCGCATCTGTTTACTGGCCCTCGCCAATGGTTGCACACCCCGCTCACCACCAGGGGGCAGTCTCTCCCTAGCAGCCCATTCACCCAGTTTGTGATGTCCTGTATGTGCCCAAGCTGTGAAATGAATGCAAACATCCATGGTGATTACAGTTTGGGTCATTTAATTATTTAATTGCATTTTAAGAGATTATTGCTGCAATTAGGAAGGAAACATTGAGATGGGAAGGGGGGAGGTTAGAAAAAAGAGAAAACTTAAAAGAAGCAAGTACCATCTTCCAAGTATAAAACTGATAATATTAAAAGTGACATGGCAGTATATTCACAACTACTTACTTCTAATGCAGTAACAATACAGTAGTTTTTGCAGAGGCCAGTATGACATCTGCGAGCCACATTATACTATTAAGACTCTCAACCCACCTCTGCCACAGACTAAATATTACTATGTGCACACACAGATGCACAAATACACACAAAATGAAAAATATGTAGGAGTGTTAAGTCAAACTAAGGCTCCTAATCATAAATTTAAGTGGCTACAGTAGGTCCCTTTGCAAAATACCATGTTCCCCTGGCACCAATGTTGTCATAGCACAGAAGTAGTAAGTGGCTCTGGGGCCTGGTGCTGGGGAGACACTGGAAACATCTGCACACTCAGCAGGGCCCACGCTTCTCTCCACTGCAGCAGCTAGCAAGCCTCAGTGGTACCCGCTGCACTCAGCACTGAGGTTTGGGATCCCTGGACTTCCGTCAGTGTCATGCGCTGGAGACCCGAGAAGATTCACACCAACCTCTGACCACAGCTACTCTCTCAAGGAGGTGCCTGCCAGTTCAGCAAGTGGGAGGAAACATGTGACTCCCTTGTCTTAAGGATCTCAGCTTCTTCCTCTGACATGTATACCACTTCTGGAACCCACAACGCACTGCAGAACAAACAGGAAGTGAGCACACACATACCCTACCAGCCCTGCAGTAACAAGGCCAGCTCGTCACAGTTGCTGGGTAACAGGTACAGTGCTAGAGAACACTTGAGACAAATGCACTAAGGAGCTTGAGGAAAAGTCTGGTAGTCTTGGCTCTTCCAGCCAGCACTCCCAGTGGAGGAGGCTAAAGGATACCAGCCTGGAGAGGCTGAACGTTCAGGAGTCCCTGAGATGGGGAATGGAACAGAGGCAAGTTTCCTCTGACATGTCCTAAGTCTCCCCTACCCAGATAGAAACTTAAAAGACTGATCCATTTCCCCTGGGGCCTGGGCCAGGAATAGCTCACTGCTCACTGCTGAGAAGGCACATTATATTATGTCATTAGAGCAGGACAGTAGCTCAACTAGACCAGTGCCCACTATAGGGGAGAAGAGGGTAGGAAGTAGGTGCAGAGTCTGGTCCTGTCCCTGCACCACCCTGAGCAACTAGTCTTACGAAGGAATTCTGGGCCTTAGGCCACAATGGCTGCCTGCCATTCTGCTTTCCTATCCCAAAATGTTTATGTCCATATGCTGTTCCCTTTTGGGGGCTGAGAAGCACCCAGTACCTGAAGCTAAGTACTTTTGAACATTGAATAAAGGCAGGTGTGGGGAAGAAAGAACACACTTAGCAAAAAGAAAACCTATCACACCTTCTTCACATCCACCTAGGGTAAGTCAAGGCAACTTGTGAAGGTCCTTTGAGCTGTGCCTTCAAGCAAACATATTTACATTACATGATGGCTTAAAGCAGTCGGGGTGGGGGGTAGACAACCACCAACTTGGGTGACACATATTTGAATCTGGGTGTCATCTTACTCTGATATTCCGAAAAGTGTAGAAAAGGGTCTGGTTTTTGCTCATCACCAGTCCAGGAGAAGGCTCAGGTGTGCTCTGACTACTGCCAGTTCAGGGCAGCAGCACTGTAGCCAGAAGGTCCTAGATTCTCTGGAAAGAATATTCTCTTCCAAGTCCATGGGAACAAGAACAGATCAATGGGAGCATCACCTCAAATGAGAGTCTCCAAAGATGGTGACAACCGTGTCAAACAGGGACTGCAAGCACAGAAGAGACCGCTCCAAATGGACCACCCCAAACCCTGCCTTGGTAGACTACGCAAGTCCTACATAATAGGGAACAATGGCCTGGCAGATCTGTGTCCTGGAAAAATAAAAATGATTCTAAGAGAGACAACTAACCGGCTGAATGAGCCTCCTGCTTAAAGTATACCTAACACCCAGCTGGGGAAACATCTGTTACATAGTGCTTCCTATCTGACCAGCCAAAACATCTGCCTGAGATAACAAATAAACCTTTTTGCTATTCATAAACGTACCCCAGCTTCCCTAAGGAATCAGGTCAGCTCAGAGCCACCACACAATGATTAAGTGAAATTAAAAGCTAAAGAAGTTAGAGGAGGAAATGACAACAATTCCTAGGGTAACATTTCTAAACAAGGGCAAAATCATTACATTATGGAATCCTTCAAAGTCTTCAGATTAAAAACCACAAAAAGATGACAAAAGGAGGAACAAGAATTCCGAGGATCAAGCAGTCTTGTGGTCGTCTTGTGCTCTGTGGTGCAAGACCAGACGTCTCAGTTTTGCATGACCTGTTCCATACCCCAGAACCTTCTGAAGTCCAGAAGCCCCTTGGGACTAGAAAGGGTCCAAGTTCAGCGGGGTTTTGGAGAGCCATTTATTTGGCTGCCCTGGGTGATAGTGTCTGTGCTGTATAAGCTGTCCAAGAAGACCGAGGTTAATTCCGCAACCAGATTCCTGTCTGAGATTGTCTGGGCCATGCCGTAGACAGCACCCTATAAACCCAATTAATGACATAGTGAGGACAGAGACAGGAATAAGGATAAGACTGGCAATATTCCCCTCCTCTCCCAATCCTAGCTTTTCATTTGTGCTGCCCACACACACTGTCCATTTCCACCCAGGACATCCCATCATTTTGTCAGAAAAACAACTGGCACAGTCAATTTTTCATAGGTACTTTCCAGACAGTCTTTCTGCATAATGGAACTATCTCATGAGATTTGATGTAGAAAATTCCAGAGAAAACAAGTTTATTACTTTCCCTATGTCAAATTTTTCTTTTCAAATGGACACTGCTCCACCTTTTTTTGTGAAGCCATTTCTAATTTACAAGGTGCTTTATATTGCGAGGGTACAAAAAAACATATACACATTTTAAGAAGGGAAAAAACTAGGCAAGATGTGGTGGCTCACACCTGTAATCCTAGCACTCTGGAAGGTCAAGGTGGGTAGGTCACCTGAACTCAGGAGTTGGAGATCAACTAGAGCAAAAGCAAGACCCCACCACTACTAAAAATAGAAAAACTAGCTAGGTGCTGTGGTGGGCACCTGCAGTCCCAGTTACTCGAGAGACTGAGGCATGGGGTTCACCTGAGCCTAAGAGTTTGAGGTTGCTGTGAACTAGGAAGCCACAGCACTCTACCCAGGGCACAAACATAGACTCTATCTCAAGAAAAAAGAAAAGAAAAGAAAAAACTGTGTTAAAATTGTAATATTCAAGTCACATTTGACTTCTGCGATTACAAGAGACATAAGATAACAAATGTTATCAGTTCACATTATTACACTTTAATTCAGGGTTTTTTTGAGACAGAGCCTCAGGCTGTCGCCCTGGGTAGAGTGCTGCGCCATCACAGCTCATAGCAACCTCCAACTCCTGGACTTAAGCGATTTTCTTGACTCAGCCTCCCAAGTAGCTGGGACTACAGGCGCCTGCCACAATGCCCAGCTTTTTTTTGGTTGCAGCCGTCATTGTTGTTTGTTGGGCCCGAGCTGGATTTGAACCCACCAGCTCAGGTGTATGTGGCTGGCGCCTTAGCCACTTGAGCTACAGGCACCAAGCCAGGTTTTTTCTTTTCCAAAAGGTGTATACATCTTTTTGGTACCCTCTGTATAGTGTCTCACTTGAGATTTCGAACAACCCTGGGAATGGGTGGGGCAGAGATCATGGGCTCCAATTAACAGAGTTTATGGCTAAGAGGGTAGAGGCAAGAACAGACTCCAGGTCATCTGATTCTTTTAAATGTTTCACCAACTCCTGAATTTCCAAGGGAAGAAAAAATTCCAAGTGTCCCTACCATTCCTGTGGTCTTTGCTTTAGGATTCTTCATGATTTGAGTGACAGATTCCCGGATGTCCTTTAGGAATTGTATGGCTATTCGCTTCCGGGCATGTAATAATGTGATACAGAAATGAATACTACAGGAGAAGAGAGAAAGAAAAAGAGAGAGAGAGACATGAACACTGAAAACATACAGCACGTTCTAAAACAAAATAACCCAATACAGGAATTTACTGGTTGCCTCTTTGTGTTACTTCTGACAAGCGTGGTCATCCAAGTTGCTCCCAGCCCAGGAACTTGGGGCTCACAAATATTCGGATTGTCAAGCATAGGCTGCCACCAGGCCTCTCAGAATGATCAAGAACCATCCTGCTAGATGAGCACAGCTGGTTGTCTGTCCCGCCCCTTCCCTCACAATCAGTACTCCTTCAATGTAGGACCACTAATGGGACACTTTTATGTTAGACAATCAGCTCTCCTGGCCCTTGGGGGGACAGGGCCACATAACTTGGGTCTTGAAGGACTTCAGGGCAAACAAAAACTAACTCACCCTAGAGGGAGAACAGGGTTTAGTGGAATGTGAAGAGGAAAAGCAATGGTCTAGATGGGATTGGCAAGAGGCCAACCGGTAACAGGAAAGTTGTGCGCAGAGGACAGGACAGGCCTACTCAGTAGGGCAGAGTATTAAAGACATCGTGGAAGGTTAGGTTAGAAAGGCATATTAAAGAAGACAATACAGGCATAAAGGATCAGAGACCCTCTGAAGGGCCTGAACTACATATGAGGTCAGACAATTAAGTTTGCAAACTTATCCTAGAATAAGTGCTACATATCTCAATGCTGAAAATCACTACAGTCACCTTTGAAGTCCTCCCCTTGGGAAGCTATGCACTGATCCCAGAGCTAGTCCACCCCTCAAGGCACTTTTTTCTAGGATGAGTCTGTAAGCTTAATTGTTGGACCTCATATTATCCAGTCCGCACTTTTTTTTTTTTTTTTTGAGACAGTCTCACTTTCTTGTCCCCAGTAGAGTGCCATGGCACTATAGCTCACAGAAACCTCAAACTCCTCAAGTGATCCTCTTGCCTCAGCCTCCCAAGCAGCTGGGACTACAGGCTCCCACCCCAATGCCCAGCTATTTTTTTAGAGATGGGGTCCTGCTCTTGCTGGGGTTGGTCTCAAACTGGTGAACTTAAGCAATCCACCCACCCCAGCTCCCAGAGTGCTGGAAGTAAAGGCATGAGCCATTGCACCTGGCCATGCAACAAGTATTTTATAAGAGCAATCTGATGGCTGTGTACAAGGCAGACTGCAGAGTACAGCGGCTAGAGAGTGAGAGGAAAACCTCATGAGTGAACACTGGTCTCAAGAGACTATCACCTGATTCTGCCAGAATTTAAAGCTAATGGTCTTGTTATTTATATCTAATAACTCCAGGTGGCAAGATAGAAATCCTTTAGATCTATAGTTGCTACCAAAGTGCTAGGCTCAAGCAAAGTCTCTACCTCAGGTTACCTTGCTATCTAAGTTCTTCCAAAGTCATAGAATAAGGCCAGACACAGTGGCTCAAGCCTGTAATTCTAGCACTCTGGGAGGCCAAGGCAGATGGATTACCCTGAGCTCAAGAGTTCGAGACCAGCCTGAGCAAGAGTGAGACCCTCCAACTCTAAAAACAAAAAAACAACCAGGCATTGTGGCAGATGCCTTAGTCCTAGATACTTAGGGGGCTGAAGCCAAGAATCACTTAAGCCCAAGAGTTTGAGGTTGCTGTGAGCTGTGATGCCACTGCACTCTACCAAGGGCAACAAAGTGAGACCCTGTCTCAAAAAAAAAAAAAAGTCATGTAGCAAAAGAAGGAAAAGAGGCTACTTCATACTTACCTGGGTGGGAATTGCAACTGGTTCAAGTGCCAGCCCTTAGCAGTCATCAGGTTAGATAGTCGGTAGATGTCAAAATCATGGGAGCCCAAAGCAATGACTGATACTTGAGGATTCCCAAAAACAAAGATGCCTTTGATATTTTCTAGTCTTAAAACAAAAAGAGAAAAACAAGAAGCAAAAGGATTCAGCCACATATATTCCTCTGTTCATCATCTCTTAAATCATCCAAAGTGATAATGAATGTCATCAATTCTTTAGGGCTTTAGTCTTCTTACCTTCTAACATAAGAAGCTAATAAGCTAGACTGTGATCAGTGGTTCTTATGGAGATCAGAATCACAAACAGAACACAAAAAACATTCCAAGGCTCAAACCTCATCTAGGTCTAACCAATCAGAATCACTGACTTCAAATGTGTCTACCCAACTCCCAATTATATTCCCTTAGAGACATCTGAGGCATAAATGATGTAATAAAAAAAAATTTCTGAAAAAATAATCCATTTCTATAGTCCTACAAAGTTATATTTAATTCCTAAAGCGAGAAATGTATAGCAGTTCTCATCAGATGGTCCTATCAGAACCATATTCAAATGGACATTTTTAAATGAAATGCCTATGAGCAGCTTTCCTTACCCCTCAAGATTCTGAAAAGGTCTCCCAATCCTGGTGACACACATACAGGCAGGTCACCCAGGAATAGATCCATTAGACAGAGCACACAGCCAGTTATGGCCTTGGCTTAACCCCAGATTTTACCACCCTTCCTTTCCCATTCCTTCTGACCTATTTACAATTCTTTTCTTATTCCACCGATTCTTGAAGTATGATAGTATGATTTCTGCACCAGTAGCCTGAGTATCTCTCCTGGAAATCCTCAGAACCCATCCCAGATCTATTAAATGAGAAACTCTAGGAGTGTTTTACCAAGCCCTCCAGTGATGGGATGCATGCTCAAATTTGGAAGCATCTATCTTAACCACTCAACAGTACGTTAGCATGAGGCTAAAAGACGTCAGTTTTTGAGACATCCTTAGAGATGAGACAACCTTCAAATGAAGCCCTTTCTCTGAAGACTCTCCAAAAGTCACAGCAGAGAAAGGGAGCTTCTCCCAGGCCAGAACCACACACTCTTAAGCTGCCATCCTAAACTCTTGGCTTCTTGAGAGATGGCAAACAGGCTAGGGTATGGGTACTTAGCCAGGCTGATGTCTTGAGCCTACTAGTGGAAAAAGCAAAGGACAAAGTAGAATCCCAATCTTCCACACATACTCTGACTTGAGGAAGCGAGCAGTTTTGATGGTCTGTTTGGTAGCTTCAACATAGCCGTTCTCACCCAAGTGCATCAAGGCAGCCCAACAGGCTGCACTAATGCCACCAGGCCGTGAGCCTGCAATGGTTGGGGAAGCGTAGATGCCACCTTGCCAATCCGGAGCAACGAAGAACTGATAGCTCCTGTACTTCTTGTCACTGTATAACACCAACGAAGAGCCTTTGGGGGCGTAGCCGTACTGAGGGGGAGAAGCAGAGAGTGAGAGCGCAGTTCTGACTGGCAAATCTTGTCCCCAAACTCCCCTCAAGCAAAGGAATTCCTAGTGTTGGTTTCCCTGCAATGTCCACTCATATTAAGGATTCAAACTTAAAATAGTAGAATGAAGAAGAAATTTAAGGCATAAAGTTTAAATTCTCTATGTTAGGGATGAGGAATCTTGAGGCCCAGAGAAGAACACTGTTAATAGATTTATTCCACCTCTTGCCCCGCATGTGGTTTTCCTTATTTAAAATACTTTTCTGGGGCAGTATGTCAGGATGGAAACAAAGGTACATTACCAGTGGAAGCCAGGAAACGATGGAATTTAAGTCACCAAGAGCAACTTTTGAAATCACCTGACACTCTTCCCATCTTTTTTGCTTAGTATTATTCTTCCTTTTTTAACAACATAATGTTGCTCAGAATCTACAAGCTACTTAATCCAGCTTTAAAATTAATTATGTAATTGGCTTCCTTATAGAAAATGTATCCTTCTCATTAACTCTCACATGGAATTTCATTCCCTCAATCACATAGAAATGGATGGTTAAGGAAAAAAAGGCACAGTAGCTATTTTGGGTGGAAAGGAAAACCAGATTCTAACTAATCATCTATCTGCTGCAGATCCTTTAGAGTTTGAAAAGCAAGTCTTTACTGTGCTTGAGTTTGAAACAAGCTCTGAAAATGTAATCGAAACAAGACACATATTCCTGAAGTTGCTAGTAACTTCTTCCACATCTCAATATGTGTGTAAAGAGCTCCCAACCAATCTAGATTTCGTGTGAGTCCCTCAAAGGTGACAGGCATGGACATTTCCAACATTGTAAGCTAAATATTCCTCAGCTCATGGGTGCCCCACTTCTCCCGAGGGACTCTTCCAACAGCACACTCCTGTCATCCACGTTCAGGAGCTGCAGTATTAACATCCACCCTCTTAGGAGCTCCGATATCAACCTTCACCTCGTCCACTCTCTACTTCAAATAATCTTAAGCCTTCTGCGAACTTTTTTTTTTTTTCTTTAACAAGGACCACTATGCTAGTGTGTTCCAGTTACATACAATCAGTGGATACAGAAATTCTCTTCGCCAATGAGATAAAAGTAATAGGTTCCTTTGCACTCTTGTCTGTCACCTGTACTCCTATACCCCATTGCCTGAACCAGTGGCCTGGTGAGAGCCAAGAATTATAGTTAATTTCATACTTTGGAGGAAGCTAATGCTTTAACCAACTAATTTTTTGTCGATAATAGTCAAAATAACCAACTACTAACACCTGAGTGCCTCCTTAGCTCACCTTATGGGTATCAGCTGAAATGCTGGTCACACCTTTCACCCGGAAATCAAATGGCTGCTCCAGCGGGTATCCTGCTTTCTCCATAAAGATGATGAGGAAGCCCCCCAGACAAGCGTCTACGTGAAGAGGTATTTTGTATTTCACAGCCAGCTTGTTCCAATAAACAAAGAACATAAGAGACTTTCACTTATTGTCCCATAATAAAAACTTTGCAGGGCATGAATGGAAAGGTGGGCTAAAAACCCAGACTATCTTGTACTCTGCCTCTCATGATTAAAATACTGAATCTTTAATAGTCCTAACAAAGTTTATCTTTCAAACACATTTTGCCTTCAAAATAATTCATCTGAAATATGATAGCTATTTTATATTTTAATATACATGACTTCAAACTCCCTGCAAAAGCAAGCAGGAAATGAGTCACAGTGATTGAAGCTGCCTCTGGAGCCAAGGAAATGGTCCTGCTTCAGTCTTGTGGGTGCACAAGCAGAGGGAGGAGCAGGTGCTGAGGGGCAGCCTGTGGAGTGTCACACCCGCTGGTGGGCACCTTCCTCTAGGCAGACTACTTCCTGATCTCAATCTAAAAGTCACTAGTATTTCAGGATATCCTGTCTAAAGAAAAGACGAGGCCTAATATTGTCCCTCCCCCAGAGCAAAGAGTAGCTAGCAACTTTCAGAGCTTCTGAATAGAGCTGTAGGGTATACCATACCCAGGCTGATGAGAGCTGTGCATCACTACTGTGATCAAACCTAGAATCCAAATCATTTCTATTTGCCAAATACTGAACCATGAGCGTCTCCTTTTAGAATCTCAATTTGACTGCCATAATAGCGCATTTCTCTCCCGTACCTGGGCCACTTCAGGGATTGGATCTATCACACCATGAGCATACTGTGGGGCAGAACACACAAGCATGGCAGTGTTACTGGAGATGGCTCTTCTCATCGCCTAGGGATTTAAAGTTTAAAGAGAAATGAGAGTCTATGTGACAATTACTGTTCTCCTCTGCTGCCAGAAGCAATCTGGGAGGCTAGCTCAGAGTCCAGTTCCACTAAGCCAGTGATTTTCAACCAGTGTGCTGTGAGAGGATCTTAGGTATGCTGCGGAAATTTTTCAAGATCATTAATTAAATTATTTCCGAAAGTAGTTCAAAGCACAGGAAGTACATTCCTTTTTTTTACTTTTTTTTTTTTTTTGATCAACATAATTTAAGAGTGCCACAGAAGTTTAACCACAGGTTCAAGTGTGCTGTGAGATAAAAAAGGTTGAAAAACACTGCACTAAGGCCTTCATTTCACCACTTCAAATAGGGAGAAGGCCACCTCCCCACCATGACAGCAGGACATAAGCAAATCCAGACAGGTCCATTTGGGGAAAATAGTCTGAGAGCACAAAATAAGTACAATACACTCACTGGGGGGGGTAAAAACAATATGAGCTACGAGGCAAAGAGTCAACTATGAGCCCCTACCCCACAATCCACAAGCAGTGAAACCCTGAGTAAACTACTTCACTTCACACTGCTTCCTCATCTGTGAGCTGCAGTATTAAAATAAATTTGCCGACCTCCCTGGACTGTCACAAGGACCAAATGTGATTCTGATAGCACCCTGACTGGGAAAGTCCTCTACACAAATGTAAGAGATAAAAATAATGACTATTATCATAACAATGATACTAATTCAGCACAATCAAAACCACAGTGAGAATCTTGGAGCAAGTTAGTCCATGCTCTTTAACAAATACAGAAAAGAAAGGAAAGGGATGGTATTGATAGCAAAACCCAGGTCTTTAAACTCCCAAGTTAGGGACGAGACTTTTTCCCTTTTAGATTTGACAACTCTATGACAAGACTGAAGGTGGTGCAGTTTTTGACATTCTGGCTGCCCAGAGCTGGTCTGAGTGTGACTGGAGAAGCTAGTCAGTGAGCTGCACTTCCCACTCTTGGAGCACAGGACAGCAGACCCTCCAGGGGGACTCACCCGCACATCCACCTCCATCATCTTGGTCAGTGGGACCCGCACAATCTTCATACCAAAATAATGGGCTGCCTTATCAAATGCAGAATGAGCACTTTGGGGAACCACACTAGATGACAGGGAAGAAGACAATAATGAAAGTCAGGCCACAACAGGATTCAAGAGAGAATACAACAGCTTGTCTAAATCATCAAGAGTAAACTTCTGCTCATTTTTCTTCAAATTATTTTAACTGCTTATATTACTATACTTTTCAAGAATAAACAAAAAGAAGCTAACTGATTTTCTGTAGAAACCTTCTTCCTGCTATTTAGGAAATCATTGTGACAATAGGAAGGGGGATCCAAAGGGATCTAAAGCATCAAGTAGGCTGACAGGTAGAAGTTAAGGGACAGAGCATTTGGATTAGAGCAATAAGGGAGAGGTTTCTAATGGCCACCTAGCCAAATGCAGGTACCTCAATGGGAAGCAAGCCTCCTGACTCAGGTTCAAGGGGAAACATATGTCTGCTGGCAAACATACTAAAGCCAGAAGCATGCACCAATCAGGAGGAAGACCGTGAGCCTAAGATACTAAAATCCCCATTTCTCTTACACATTTGGGAGTGTTTCAAATAGTGCTGAAAGAGGAAAAGGGGTCATAGGTAAATATTTGCTTTCAGAAGTCCCTCAGTTTCTCCACAGTTAGAATTTATCTGTTCTCCTAAAGGATGAAAACAATTTTCTATTACTAAGTACCAAGACCTGAAGTTGATCATCTGGAGAAAGAATGGCAGCTGACTTATTCTTGTAGGCTAAGCATGAATCACAGCAGGAGACCACGGGCAACAAACCCCTTAGTCACTGATGCTTGTGGAGAAAACATTAACTCAAAAGATAGAGCATAAACACACTGTACAAGGAGAGGGTCTGGAAAACAAAAACCAAACATCGAAATTAAGTTCATAGTGGCAATGTGAGTAAATATCAAAAGGATTTTTATTTTTTCCCCTAGAAAAGTCCATCAAAAAATATTCTTAGATAGTACTTGAGGTAATCTATAATATTTAAGTAACTTTTCCTGAACTAAGAAAGTAGAGAGCTTTCCTCAGACTCCAGATAATTTATAATAAATATCACAGGATTCAAAGATATAATCTACTAACTCTGTGTCACTTTTGGGAAAAGGATCTTATTCGTCCTTATAATGTATACATATGTGTAAATGTGAGGGGTTAGGAATGATCTTTAAAAATAACTGGCTGATCCATTTAGAATTTTACTGAATATGAAAGGATAAGGCTAGAAGGGCCAGGACAGGGAGAAAGAGGACTGGAATTGCCAGAGGAAGAGAAGCAGGAAAATAGACTATCAGGTGCTTGCTTCTGCAGCACATATACCAAAAATGCCGGGTGTGGTGGCTCACACCTGTAATCCTAGAACACTGGGAGGCCAAGGCAGGTGGATTGCCTGAGCTCACAGGTTCGAGATCAACCTGATCCTGAATGAGACTTTGTCTCAAAAACTAGGCGGCATTTGCCTGTAGTCCCAGCTACTTGGCGGATAAGGCAAAAGGATCACTTAAACCCAAGAATTTGAGGTTGCTGTGAACTATGACACTACAGCACTCTACCAAGGGGTGACAAAGTGAGAGTCTTGTCTCAAAAAAAAAAAAAAAAGAAAGAAAGAAAGAAAATAGACTATCAGGCACTGTTTCTGTTTCATACAGCAGTACTCCAAACAGACAAATTTCAAAGGAGGAAAACCACCATACACACGTACATTTCTGGAGTTTTGATCCCCTTCTCAAAGGCCAGGTCCCGATAAGCTTTGCAGGCCATCAGTATGCTTTCTGTACCCCCAGAGGTCACCTATAAGAGAGAAGAGAGGCCATCCTTTGGAGGAGAGTCAGAGACAGTTATCAGCATGCATATCCTGTGCTGACCTTGGCAATGTCTGATGCAGAAGCAGATAAGGACCTGGATGCATACTGCAGGGCAGATACTGTTGTGACTTCCAAAGGAAAGGCCTTTGTAGGCTAAGCCCCATCTTGGAGAGAAGAATAAAAGTCACAAAGTAAGAATAAGCAAAATCAGGTGTACTTGTAATCCCAGTCACTTGAGAGGCTAAGGTGGAATGATTGCTTGAGCCCATGAGTTAAAGACCACTCTAGACAACATAGCAAGAACTCATCTCATTAAAAACAAAAGAATGAGCAGAAACTCAGCATTGTCTGAACAAATGCACATTTGCCCAGATTCCACCTGTTCATAAGACATTTACATTTCCACATTAATTCATCCATTTTCAGATAGGATAGGGAAAGTTATGCCATTCAAAACCATCAGGACTAATCTTAATTTAAATTTTCAACGCCTGCTGAAGAATGTAGAACTGTGAAGTTTCAATTTAACAAACTGTGTGACACATTACAAGATCAAAAAGAGACATTCAGAATTTCCAAAGTGAACTTACGGTTTTGACAAGTTCGAAAGACAGAAAAAAGCAGAAGTGTATACTTACATTGATGTCTGTTGCCCTGAAGCTAGGCTTAGCCTTTCTGCTAGATAAATTTACTTATCAAAGTTCACACAAAAAGACACAGAGGTCTTTTCAGTCATCCTATTTTCCTCACTGGACTACAAACTCATTAAAGTGAGGACCAATCTGTTCATGACAATATTCTTAGGATCTAGCATCATAGCTCACACCTAATAGACTCTCAATCTTAATACTTGACTTTCAATAAACTGTGACCAGCACCAGCATGTCAAGGTCACCCAGCTTTTTACTATAATATATAAGAATAAATTTCAAGACAAATAAAAAGCTAAAATATCACTGCGTTAGTTGGATAGCTTCTTAGATTTACCATCTCTGCAGATTCACACAATCTTCAGTAGGTTTTTCATTCAATGAGTGAGAAAACTAAGCCCCTGAGAGATTAAAGTGATTTACTCAATGCCATACATTAGCATCTGTGAATAAATAAAACTTTCTATATTAATCCAGTTTGACATAAGATGGAATGAGAGAAGAATGACTACTGAACTTTCCTAAAATAATATCCACATACAGAGCAATATTCTAAATACTACTGAATACAAATTCCCAGTGGTCAGGAGTTATATGAAAGAGTAGCTGAGAAAAGTTTATTCATTTTTTGACTCAAGAAGTCTTTATGAAACATATGACCATCATCCACAAACTAATGCACGGAACTTGGGAATGGGACACATTTGTAGGTCTCTTTATTTCCAGGCTAGAGATGACAAAATACTTACAGCTGAGGTCAGCTGTATAAACCAGCAGCCTGTGCTGTGCTTTAGCATAAAACCTCAGGGTATCACATGAGGAGCCAAATAGCTGTGAAGAAAGTCAGGGAAGAACTAGCAAATCTTTAGTGCATCAACCTCTCACTAAGGTCCGGTAGTGACCTAAACAAAGAAATTTCTGAAGTCCTAGTCATCCACTTCATGTCTCCTATTATAGTCCAACTTATCAAAACAACATCATTATTTGTTAGGCAAATACCAGTGTACTTTTTGGATGGAAAAGCAGAAATACATAAATCCTACTTCTAATTTTTATTCCTGATCCCTAAATTCTGTGTTTAAAAATGCTGTTAGTCTCCCATTTCCCTCCACCCCCAGAACCCAAAGAAAAACAAAAATTGTGAAGTGAGAAAAAAGAAGAAAAAAAAAGAAACAGTGAAGTACAGCAGAGAACAGAGGTACCACAAACCATAGTTCCTAATCAGCCTTTGAAATTGCACCAGGGGTCAGCAAAATCCTGAGAATTCTCATTTACATCCCCTAAATCTGCAGAGAAGCAGAGACACAGAGGGGATTTCCTTCTTCCTCTTCTAATCAGTGAGCAGCAGCCACCCCCGGCTGCTAGAGAGAAATGAACAAAATGGGAAAAGAACCTCAGGACTGACTTATAACGGTGAAGACTTTAGGGTCATAAGAATTAAAGAAATAATCAAAGCTCAAAGGGAATTATTTCCTTGCAAGTATAGGTAACTTGCAACAGAATTTCAAAAGACCTAGATAGTCTAATACAGATGGAATAAAGCTTTATGTGAATGAGCCCTGCCCCTAACCAATGGTTTCGGACACCATTCATGTAAATAAGTAGGTCAACAGAACTAGACTACAGCAAACAGCACCCATAAAGAACTAATAGCTACACTACCAATAGCCATGAATGGAATAAACACTGCTGAGAAAAAAAAAAAAAAAAAACGACCTCAAAGAAAACATCTGAGATAAGTTTAGTGAATCAGATAAAAAAAGATGGTGATTTAAAGATCAACACCACTCCCAACTTGGAGAACTACATTTCAGAGAATGATTGCAACAGCTAGAAATCTGTGAGATCATCCAGAATAGTTGAAAATCTAGAAAAAATATAAGGAAGAGATGGTTGCAGGAGGGACTTTCAAATCTACAAAAATCATATGGATAAAAAATTACAGAACTTCTACTTCTAACAATATAAATTATGTATCTTGAAGAACATTCTTTACTGAAGCAACTAAAAAGTCAAGAAACTAAGGAAATATTACCCCAGAATATGACAACTGACATAAAGAATATTTTGAATTAAAGGCCATTCACAATCAGAAAGCACTGGAAGGGACTTTCCCTGTATCTGCATAAAACCAGACTGACCTGATCAGTGGACCAAAGCAGGACTTCCTTTCCTCCCCCTGAAAGCTAGCAGACCTGGCCCAAATCATATAAAACACAATACTTGTCTCTCAGATTAATTGGCAAGTCAATCTGTTTCTTCCATTATTCAACCTCTGGCTACCACTTGGTACATCCATACTGCACATTCTCCCCCTTCCCTTCTTAAAGGTGTCTCTGAAGGTATCCGACCATCATAGACACATTAGGTAATCACTCCTGTGGCTCCACTCATGTGCATGATATTTGGAAATAAACATTTCTCTTATTAATCTGCCTTAACTGTGAGGTGATCTTTCAGCGAACTTTTGAGATGGGGGGGGGGACAAATTTTGCCATGATCCCTACAAAAGCTTGATGAAACATCAAAAAAAAAATTTTTTTAACATCCATAATTGAGCTAACATAAAGAAATATACTAGGCTCGGTGCCTGTGGCTCAAGTGGCTAAGGCGCCAGCCACATACACCTAAGGTGGTGGGTTCGAATCCAGCCTGAGCCCGCCAAACAACAATGATGGCTGCAACTGAAAAAAAATAGCCAGGCGTTGTGGCGGGCGTCTGTGGTCCCAGCTACTTGGGAGGCGGAGGCAGGAGACTCGCTTGAGCCCAGGAGTCGGAGGTTGCTGTGAGCTATGCCACGGCCCTCTACCCAGGGCGACAGCTTGAGGCTCTGTCTCAAAAAAAAAAAAAAAAAAAGAAACATACTAAACCTCAAATTGGAGATGGTTGAAAAAACACACACTCTTAAGTGTACGAGAAGAAAACCCACTGGTACAGATAAGAATAGCAAGAAAAACCACTGTTCTCAGCCTTGATGCTCAATTAAAGAAAAACAAAAAACTCTGAAGAACATGTAACAAAGCAGCTTGTATGTCAGTTGGTGGTCTGAATTTACACTCACTCTGTGGTACAAAATGATGAGCTGAGAATTGGAGTTAAATTGGTTCCAATGTAGTGGCAATCACCCCTGACAAATTACAAATCCTCTCTGGAAGAACTTAACTTCAATTTAGACCTCAAAGAATCCCTGTAAGTTCCCCCCAAAATGAGTGGCTCCTGTGGTTTACCAAAAAAAAAAAAAAAAAAAAATCATAGGGCACCTATAGTCCCAGCTACTCAGGAGGCTGAGGCAAGAGAATAGCTTGAGCCCAAGAGTTTGAGGTTGCTGTGAGCTATGATGCCATTGCACTCTATCAGGGGTGACAAAACGAAACTCTGTCTCAAAAAAAGTCATAAATATAAGAAAATAAGACACCACAAATGAAACCACAAAAATCAAATAGATAAGGTTCAAATTATCAGACACAGAATACAGAATATTTATGGGCAATATAGTTAAATAAACAAAATGCAAGCCAAGGAAAAAAGACTATAAAGAACCACCAAGCAGATTTAAAAAAACAACCACCACCAGAATTCTCAAGAATGAAAAATACAGTAAATGAAAGTTTAAACCCCAATGGAAGAAGTAAATGATAGATTAGACACAGCTAAAGAAGGAATCAGTAAAACCCTTCTACTTATTGATAGGGTCGACCTGCCTAGGTAGAACTGACCAGCCCAGGAAGAAGAGAGTGCATGTCCTGCCCAGGAAGTGGTGGACGGACCAATCCCAGCCTCTCTAACCCTATAAAATCCCCATCTGCCATTGCTCACGTATGGAATTCCTTTTCTGACTTTACCCCACCTGCACCCAGGTGGAATAAAAGCCACACTGATCATACACCGGGACTCTGTTTTCCTTTCATCTCTCCCCTCGGAATAATCTTTCATCTTTGGGTCCGTAACCTCTCACTTAACACCTAAGTGGGACAATTTTCAACTCACAGTGAATCTTTCACCTGCTTCCACCTTCCCCAGTCATGGCTGCCACTGAGAAGACCAGTTGTTCTAATAGGTTGTCTACTTTCTCTGGCTGCTTTCAAACACCAAGCAGACGTGTGTTACCCCCTTTTATCCTAAACTTTGTGTCTTTTAACCTTTCTCCCATCCAAGTACTAACCACACCCAACCCTGCTTAGCTTCCGAGATCAGAGGCGTTCAGGGTGGCTGGTATGGCCATAGACCTTTTAACCTCTCTTTCATACTTTCTATTGGTCTCTTTGGACTATATTCTGGTTAACTTTATTGACTTTGTCTTGTTCCATAAATCTGACTTTGGAAATATGTAACTGTTTTATACAGTCTTAACTGAACCAGGGCATCTGGAGCAGGAAATGTACAAGATGAACCTGGAATATTTTGTTAAAAAAAAAAAAAAGGAAAAGGAAAGAAAGGGAAAGAAAGCCTTCGAAATCTACTTGGGTTGTGTAAAAGGACCCAGAAGTCAAAATGAAGATACTTCCAATGGCCAAAGACGAAGTAATCTGAGCATCAATCTGAATAACAACTACAGTGATTTAGGCACATACAGTATTCTACATCTAAACCTGTACCGTTGACAGATATTTGGATGATTTTCAGTTTTTAACTATCATGAATAATGTTGCTATGCATATTCACATACACATAGCTACCTAAATCCTGATACACACGTGTGCTAGTTTTTCTAGGGTATATCCTGAGAAGCAGAATTTCTGGGTTGTAAGATTTGTGTATCTTCAAATTTACCAGACAAGGCCAAACTACTTTGTGGCTGTTTAATCTGTGGTCGCTTAGAAGTTCACAGAGTCTGATGGCACAGGAGAATACTCACCAACTGTATCACCACATCCCCTCTATTTGCCATCCTAGTCATCAAAATACCAAAAGGGAACCTGCTGCTGTGCTGTGGTTGGTTCTTTTTTTTTTTTTTGATATAGAGTCTCACCGTGTCGCTCTCAGTAGAGTGCCATAGCGTCACAGCTCACAGCAACCTCAAACTCCTGGGCCCAAGCAATTCCCCTGCCTAAGCCTCCCAAATAGCTGGGACCACAGGCGTCCACCACAACACCCAGCCATTTTTTGCAGTTTGTTCAGCAGGCCTGGGCCAGGCTCAAACCTGCCAACTTCACTGTTTGTGGCCAGTGCCCTACTCACAAGCTACAAGTGCCAAGATGGTTGGTTCATTTTTTAACAGTTTTGAAATCTGGTTTGAAAGTGAGTGCCAGGAATACCACTTTTGTTAATTACTGAATATCTGAACATGTTGATTTTCATGTAAACACCCAAAAACACTGTTTGATGGAAAACACTATGAAGTGTTCTTGTCTTCAAATGGGCCCTTCAGTAGTTAAATCTGAAGACTTTATAATGATTATTAAGAGCATCTGACAGAGTTAGCACCTCTAGGTTACCATTACAGAATTCTGAGTTTTATCTCTCCTAATGTGAAAACTGAAATTTACTTTTTTCTAGAGAAGACAATGTCAGTTTGTAGTGACAAATCTAGATAGAATATCCATCACTGTTTAAGAAAACTAACAACTATCTACTTGAAAGCATACGTAAAACAAGGAAACCTCACATGTATCTTTAAATATGATATCCCCACTTTCTTTATTCCAAATATAAACTAAATGAGATTCCGTTTAGAGCAAAATAATCAAGTGGACTTCTAGCTGAAGTAAAGTGAGAAGTGGATCAAGAAGACTGCAGGAAGGTTCAACACAGAACACACAGATAAAAGCCTGAGTAGTAGATATGCAGGTGGGAGGTAAGGGCTGAGAGAGGAAGGGGAGAAGGAGAGGGGAGGGCAGATGTGGCAACACATTTAGAAAAAGAATTTAGGGTACTCTTTCTTTTTTTTTGAGAAAGAGTCCCACTATGTCACCCTTGGTAGAGTGCCGCAGCATCACAGCTCATAGCAACCTCAAACTCTTGGGCTTAAACGATTCTCTTGCCTCAGCCTCCCAAGTAGCTGGGACTACAGGCATCCACCATTAACCCCCAGCTACTTTTTTGTTGCAGTTGTCATTGTTGTTTAGTTGTCCTGGGCTGGGTTCGAACCCATCAGCCTCAGTGTATGTAACCGGCACCCTAACCACTAAGCTACAGGTGCAGAGCAAGGGTGTTATTTAAATTGTCCTAGCAACTTTATGTAAGTTGAAAGTTTTTCAAAATAAAAATGTAAAGTATCTAGAAGAATATATACCAAAATGTTGATACTCTATGATTATAAAATTATAAGTAACATTTTAAAATTGCAATTTATCTGGATCTTTCTATAATAATAGAATATTACCTGTATAATGAAGCATTTTTAATACACTCTTCTATTTTAAGCTAAAAGAAAATAATACTATTGGATGTCACCTGGACATACTTACACATCCACAGGAATCTGGTCCCCCGTTGAACAGGGAACAACCTATCCTCACAATTTCTGCCTCTATTTTACGCAGTCCTGGGAAGATATCTGGATGCAGAGGGTTACTCCATGCAAATTCTCCATAAGCCTACAAAGAAACACAGCAGATGTGAAATAAGACTGTTATACCACATGGAACAAAGAATCAGGCACTGAACAACAGTTTCTAGATCTAAGGCACAACACTGGGAAAAAAGGAAGACATGATCCTCAACCTAAAGATCAAAAAAATAGTGGAGGACAAAAAAAAAAGTGGATGAGACAGAGATGCAAATAAACCATTTTACAATGTGGTAAGAGAAGAAATATAAATTTACTTTAAAGCACAGACTATAACATCAAAAAGACCCAATTTAAAGTCTTAGTTTTGCCTATTACTTTTATCTAAGCAGGTCAAAAAAACTCTGTAAGGCTCAGTTTCTTCATGTGCAAAGAGGGATAGTTAGGATATCTACCTTCCAGGGTTTAGTAATCATTAAATAGTAAGGCATTTTAGTTGCTTTGTTATTAAACTTATATACAGAGTGCTAAGGGACCCTGAAGAGGAAATAACTAATATCCTGAGTGGTTTGAAGGTATCTGTTGGATGCAACCTGGAGAGATGAATAGGAGAGCATCATTTGGAATGGGTCGAATTAAAAAGCAGAAGGAAAAACAACATAAGCGCATGGCACACTTAATAAAGAAAAAAGGCTGGATTAGTGTGTATGTGAGAAACAGACGTGATTATGAAAACACAGATGGGAGCTGGCTCAGGAAGACACTTATATTCTCTGCTACTGAAGAAGTTGAGTTTCATCTTATTGATGATGGGACGCTACCAAAAGATTTTAAGCACAGAAATAAGATCAGAGCATCATGCCAAGACGCAGCTAAGCAAAACCTATAATACTTAGTAAGGTGTGAGCAGTTTCACACTTTCAATAATCAAACACAAAGATCTTATAGATCATCAGTCCAACCCAAATATTTTACGATGTAAAGTAAATCTGATTAGAAATGAAAGAAGCTAAGATTGAGAATTATCTCAAGTTTAAGTGAGACTACTGCTCATCTCAGGCCCTGTGATTTGAGGAAATTATGACTGGGCACCCCTATCTTGTCTCTTCTTATCAAACAAAATCTGTCTTACATTAAAAATCTTAAGTTACAGGACTATCTTCCCTAGTAATCCGCCTTCTACACAAGACATCTATAAAGCCTAGAAATATAAATAACATTTTACTATTTCACTGACTGAAGATGTCTTTGACAACATTATAGATATTTGCCTACATTTGGTAAAGTGTTCCAGACTTCCATGTTTGCTTGTTATTGTTAAATAAACTTTCCTCAGGTAATTTTTCTAATTACAAAAGTAAAGAGAAACAATGAGGTCATGTTAATTGGCACAGGTCTCCCAGGTTTCCCTCCAGATCTGGACACTCACCTTCACGAGGAGCTCAGTGAGCTTCTCCTCCCCACTGTACACTGCTCCAGAGGCTCTCCCTTCGTGCCAGGCGACATCTGCAGAGAAAGACCAGTAGGTCAGTAAGCAGGAAGCTTTGGGAAGGTAGTTAGGCTCTAATAAAAAAGAAAAAGAAAAAAATCTCTTCTATTACAGAAGAAAAAGAAGAAGAAAACCAATGCATTCTTATATTAAATTAAGAAAAAGAATATCAATAAAGAGTTATCACAGTAAAATAAAGATGAAAAATCCTCAATTATTATCAACAAGTACAGAAAGACATTAACAGCATCTAGGTACTAGACAGACTTAAAACAATGCTATCTTCATTCTGTCTTCTAACAACAGAACAATTTTCCTTTATCTGTACTTATTTTCCATATGGTTTTGCTATGACCTCTTTCTGCAATAGCTTCCTCCTTCTCTTTCTAGTCAGTCATAGGAAGCATGGGAACTACTGTGAGCAGAGTTAGCAGAAAAGTGCAAGACAAAAGTCTGAAATTTCAGTACTCAATTATTAGAGAAGGAGCCAGGGAACAAGCTACTATGAGGTATGAACCATGAATACCCTGGTCTCAGGGACACCTCCCTTTAGCCAAATTCCAGCAGCACATGTGTAGCATCCAAGACAAGGAACACGGTCAACTCTGGAATCCCAGTGCTGACAAAGAGAAAAGTTTCCTGGCCAGAAAATAAGACCAGATTATCCTCTTCATGAGGTATTCCCCAGAGACGTTCTACATTACACCAATAAATCTGCTAGTGTGGGTGCCTCAGGTCTTTTTGCTGTAATGTGGCTGTGGCTGTGCCTGTGCCATATTTAACTGCACGTAAACATGGGCTCTCCAAAGCAAAGATCTTCAGCTCTAACAAGAGCCAAAGCCTAGGTAGTAAATATACAAATTCTTCATTCTCACAGCCATCTGTCAACCTCTGACTCATTGCCAGTTTGACTTTGAGGACACTGCTCTGTACCACGCACATCTTCAAACCAGTGGTCACCAGCCTTTCAAAAATAGGGTACAGGGGTTTCACTTCCTGTTCTTTTACTGGCTCTGGAGGATGGCCATGGACAGTGACTTAAAAGTTAAGGGAGGGCAATATGATGGCAGGAACCAGCCCTCATAATCATGGAAATCGCTAATATGCAGGTGCAGGGTGCTCAGTCCTGCTTTCTATCATGTAGGCCCTATGCGCTATCTAATTCTGTACCATCCAATATAAAGACCTAAACATATGTCACTTTAAAGGGCATTTGTCAAAATGCAACATAGTATCCCAAACTGGATCCTCAAATAAAGGACATTAGTAGAAAAACTGATGAAACAGAAAGAGAATTTGTAATGTAGTTAGTAGTATCGCACCAATGTTAATTCTTTTAGTTACAAGCAATGTACCATGGTTATATAAGATGTTAATATCAGGAGAACTGACTGAAGGGCATATGGAAATCTGTCTCATTTTTGCTACTTTTCTATGAATCTAAAATTATGACAAAATAAGAAGCTTATTTTGAAAGAATACTTGCAATTTGACCTTAATAAAATATAAACATGCCTTTGTTTGTATTAGTAATAGCAATAATAAACACTTACTGCACACTTACTTTATGCCAGGCACTATACAGCATTAACATGTATGATCTCATTTAATCCCATAATCACCCTTTCAGGCAAGGACTGCACTATTATTATTACTATCCCCATTGTACAGCTATAGAAACTGGGGCCTGCAGAAGTTAAATAACTCACCCAAAGTCATAGTTCAAATGCTAAAACCATGACATGAATCCAGGCTGATTCCATAAGTTAGATGCTTAAAGCACTGTTTGGTGTATCTATTTAGCCTTCCCATATGTGCTCACTCATATATATGAACATATACACATAAACACTATTAACATTCTGAGACACAGACAGATAAACAGATACAGATAAACAGAGATGAATACACTTGATGGATTATCAAATCTGGATAATGGAATTACAGCAAATTATTTTTCTTTTGTGTCTTTAAACAGGATTTCACAATTTTTACATGAATCCATATTTCATTTGTATTACATATACTGTCTTCCCTTAAACACAAATGTATTTGTTTTATTCCTGATTACAAAAGGAAATGGAACCAACTTCCACTGTCTCAGAGATGTGCATGTGTTATGGATAAAGGATATATCCAAACATAACTTTTTTTTTTTTTTTTTTGAGACAGAGTCTCACTATGTCACCTTGGGTGGAGTGCTGTGGCATCACAGCTCACAGCAACCTCAAACTCTTGTGCTTAAGTGATTCTCATGCCTTAGCCTCCCAAGTAGCTGGGACTACAGGCCAAAATGCCCAGCTATTTTTATTGTTGTAGTTGTCATTGTTGTTTGGCAGGCCTGGGCCAGTTTGAACCCACCAGGCTCAGCGTTATGTGGCTGGTGCCCTAACCACTGAGCTATGAGCGCTGAGCCGCCAAGCATAATTTTTAAAATGTTAAATTCAGCCGTTGAAATAGGGAGTAGGCCCACCTACACAAACAAGTACCAAAGATCAGTTATTCTTAACCTATATGAGCACTGAACAATGACAAATGTACTGTTTAAGGAAGCAGACAGCATGCAGCGCCAAGCACCATACCCATGGAGCTGTATTCCTTGAGTTTCTCCAGAACTGCAGATGAGCTCAGACCCTGGGCAGGCAAAGTTTTCACATACTCTTTATCTATTTTCAGGAATGACATGTTCTTGCCAATATCTTCCTTGGCTTTGTTCATCTTCTTCTGAATCTAAAAAAATTAAGTTAATAATAACTTACCGGAGTCTAGCAGAGAGTAGAAGCACCAGTTATGACAATCAGCTGCTAAATGCTAGTCACTACTCAAGTGGTAAAACTAAACTAGGATGATGTATTTTCTTAAAGCAATGTGGTGATATTCTGACTGATCAGCAATTTTACGACATGTGCAACAGCCTCTTTGAAGTCTGAAGAGCCAACCGTCTCTCAATTTCCCCTATCTCTTTTCCCTGCCATATTGGCATCACCACTGCTTCATTTAGTTGGCATTTGCTGAAGTCAGCCCATCCCTGAGGGCAATATTTGGACCTTGATCCTGCCTTGGCAGCAGCTACAGTGTATACACTAAAGAGTGAAAGGCAGACCCATGAACAGTAGCCAAAAAACCAGCCACACTGCAGTAAAGGGGACTCTGGTCTTTGGACAAGTGATGAGCTTCTGCAACAGACACACACAGAGTGCACCAGAAATTTGGAGGCCCCATATGATTTCCCACATACAAGCACAAGGTATTCTAAGAATTCATTGAGGAAGACTCCACTTTATCTCCTTAAGCTGCTGTTGACAGCTTGCACTGTCTGACCCTAAAATGCTAGGAGGAACTAAAGTCCTTTCAAGTTTGCAGTTTATCAACTATGGTTATTTTTTCCATCCTCATAGCCATGGCTGCTGAGCCATTTTATTCATTCGCTCCCTCATTCAATAAATATCTGTTGCTACAGCAGGTTCACTACAGTGAACAAAGCAAGCTTAAGCAGTGGTATACACAGTGAAAGAAAACAACTCCTGTTGCCATAAAGCTTATTTTTAGGGGAAGAGACAAAAAACAGGAGTCAGGTAATGAAAAGTACTGAGGAAATAAAACCAGAGTATAGTAAGGCGGCAGAATGGCAGGAGCTGCTATTTAGACAAGAGATTCTTGAGAGGTAGGTTTGGGGAGAGAGGCCACATGGCTTAATTTCTATGTATTACAGTGCCGTAGTTTCAGCAGAATACTTATTAAAGTTTGACACCCAAGCTCTCAATCCAAATGATTAAGATTATCTCATCTCTAGCCATGGTTAAGTAGAATACAGAGGATCTTCTTAAGTATGGCCCTCAATAAAACCATAGGGAAAACCACTCTTTTAAAAGAGGTCTGCAACAATTGAGCAGGTCATCATTGGCAGGTAGCAGAGCCCACACTCTTGGGCAATGACCAGGCACGCTGTAGACATGGAGATATTTTTAAAATTGTAAATAAAAAATTACACCCAAGGAACATGGAGCAGGAACAAACCATGAAAGCTGAGCTGAGCTTCCACGTGTAGAAGATGCTGTTGCAATAAAATGAAACCAATAATGAGAAGTATATTAGAAAGCACAGCAAATACTTCCTCACCCCTAATTCTTGCTTCATAGACTGCATCACATTACCCAATTTTAATTTCTTTATAGCATCTATTTCTTTTTTTTTTTTT